CTTCATTATTTTCAGCCTCTTTTTTTGGTAGCATCTGAATGCCAGTAATTTCAACATCGCCACCAATCTGAAGACCGTTGATGTCGTGGGGGTCTAGACGATGTGCATACGATGCAAAACGCTCACCATCGATGAAGATCTAAAAAAAGTAAAAAAGAAAAGTTCAAAAAAGACAAAAATTTTTACAAATATAACACCTTATTCTGTCTGCACAAACCTGGAAAGCATAATCTTCGTTCCTAAGTTCGAGATCAAAACCAATTCCTTTTTCGAGCGGCATTTTACCCTCACGTTCTTCGTTACCCCACTCACCACTGATCAACGTGTTTCGAATAATTGCCTACAACGGAATATACCGATTGCTGTTGAGAATGGATAAAATTTCCTGCCCTAATATTAGTCTAGCTTGTAGTACAAGTACTATGAAGACTATCATAATGGTGCTGTCAAAGCTGCTTCTTGACAAATCTGTGTCTGAAAAACGGCAAAGAAAAAAAAGAAAAAGAGGAAACGAACCAATATAATTACTAACCTTTTCATCAAATCGCGGATTGAAATGTAGCGCAATATCTCCGTTCTTTCTTAACAAATTGATATGGAAACGTTTTCCTTTCTTTTCTGGTGTTGCATATATCAACAGTGTTTTGCCTGGTGCAAGGCCTTCACCGCTAAGTCCGGTTTCAAACGGTACCGGCTGTAAATTGAAGATTTTAACATCAACAAATATACGAAAAAGTAAAAATATAAATACTTGTTTTTTTCTCGTTATGGCTATTTTCTTAATTGTAATTTTACAGCTTTAGTTTACCAATACAATAAATAATGGAAACAACAGCAAAGAAACCAAATGATCTTACATAATATTTGCCTCCCCAAGCGATATTAGTAACCACAATATCGCCATCAATGGAGAAATGTGTTACCGATGAAAGCGGAACTCGATGTTCATATTCTTTAATTTCTTTCTGCAAAAAGGAAAGATCAAACAAGTTATGGAATAAGAAATTAAGAATAAGTTTTTTTTTTCCCTAAAAAATCAGATCCTATTAATCGTTTTTTTATGTTAATTCCAAAAACAAAGAAAGTGACAACGAAAAAGCTAAAAAAAACTAAATGTTTCATCTTCAGAAAACATATGAAAGTTCTTTTGTAATTCTAAAAAAAAAGGCAACAAAAACATTGTTCTGTTGGCCTCGCGATTCGGCTAAACGGCTCTTTAGTTTTGCTACAACTACACCCAATAAAATTTTCCATTTCTGTCTCTTTCGTAAACAAAATTTTTGTTTTTTAAGTAGTTGTTAAAAAAAAATAAAGAAAAAAAATTTCACTTTTATTGGTCAAATAATTAACAATAAAAAACAAAAAAAAAATTCAACAATAGAATAAAAGCTGGTAGTGTTTTATATCTCTACGACACTTTTCAAGAAATCAGCATTTAATAAAAATAAAACTGTATTTTTTTTTGGTTTTAAATATAAGACAAAAAAAAAAAAAAAAAAA